ATGCCTGACCGCGGCGGCTTTTCCTAGTCAGAGAGGAAAGTTTCATAGCACCTTTCTTGGTTCTCGAAGCCAGAACCATGTGGTCAAAGCTGCCAAGTTCTGTTGCTTACTGGGGCTGGAACATGACTCTGTTGTTCAATTATATCTTTACCAGCTTTCTGTTGTCAAGAATTTCCTTTACTGCCTAAGATCATATATCACTTCATCATGCATTGTATGGCTACGTTGTGCATTAGGTGAGCATGAGCAAGCTTTCCCTTTTAAGTAAACTCTGCCTGCGTGTTTGCTGAAGTGCTATTAATAAAAGCTCAGAGACAGAAATTGGGATTCAACTTGAAAGTCATAAAAGAAAAACAGCCAGCTACTGGCTCTTACCTTAACCTCAGTCAGAAAATGGTGATCCTGCCTCCAGGAATCTCAGAATGAGACTCTGTCTGAAAACTGTCTCCTCCTGTTTTATCATCTTCTCTAGGGCTAGGATTAAAGGTGTGCACCGATGGGATTAAAGGCATGGACAGCCCAGTTTCTATGGCAACTAGTGTGGCTACTAGGATTATAAATGTCTGTCATTGTGGCTACTGGGATTAAAGGTGTGTGTCATTAAGACCTGGTCTATAAGGGTGACCAGTGTGGCTGCTTTATTTTTCTGATCTTCATACAAGCTTTATTTATTAAAATACAAAAAACCCGACTACATTTCCCCTTTTTGTCTAAAATAAAAAAGGCTATAACTAATATAAGAAAAAGTATATACAATTAGTACAATAACTACATGTAATATATTCTGGCAATAAATACATCAACAATGTCTAGTCCATTTGCATTTGACAAATTCAGAGAAAATACTCCATATGTATCCTATGTTGGTGAGTCCAAAGTCTTTTACCTAATGTAATTTCTATCTTAACTTTCTTTCTGTGTCAGGTAAACAAGGAAAACTATTACTCTCTAGTCTTTAACACTCTCAGAGACCCAAGAAGAAAATAATATTAACTGAGTAAACAGGAAGTGTAAAATAGTGATTTCCAAAAAATATGAGTAATGGCAGAAACAACTGGCTGTCTGGACAGTGACCCACAGTTCCTCTTCAACATGTGGCATCAGTCTTCAGCCTACAGGCCTAGCATATCTGACAGACTTTTCTGTGAAGCAGGATATTCTGAAGGGCTGTCTCTCCTTGTCTTGACAATGTTTGTCAGTCTCTTTCATGTCCTGCTTGTCTAATTAGGACAGCATACTGTCAGCATTCGAGGCAGGGGCATTTTCTTGCCTAGTGGCCTACTTTTGCCACAAAGAAAGTAAACTCAATAGGGCCATCCACTCCCATTGGAGATTTTTCAGGAGGTCTTCCTTGACCAAACTTTATTTTTCTTAACCCAGAATGAATCTGTAGCCTCTCATTTCCTGTGGAAACAAAAACAAAACCTCTTCTCTAAAGTAACATATCGTTTGACTTAAATTTTGAAACCAAGGCATTTTCAAAATACATATGTTGAGTTAATCCAGCTGCATTTATAATCAAATGTTTTCTAGCAGCTGTTGCTCCTTCCTCAGCAGTCAAACGACTCAGTAACAATGCAACAACATACAGTATCTTGATTATTGTTGTATTTTCCCTCTTTACATGGCTGTTTTAAAATGCTATTTTTTATTTTTATTTAGGTTTTTTGAGACAGGGTTTCTCTGTGTATCTTGTGCCACATTGGGCACCATTTTTAGCACAAATAATATTTTTAACATGAATGATAATAACCAGTATGGCTGTTTTACTTTTCCGATCTCCAGGCAAGCTTTATTTGTTAAAATACAAATAAAATGCCACTACAGTTTGCTCCCTTCACTTCCTCCTCTTGACCCACACAGCCCCCTTACCCTTGCCCTTTCCTAATAAACCTCCACGTGGATTTGTTGAGCTCTGTGCTTCATTCCTCACAGGGCCCTATGGCTGCTACATCACTACATAGTCTTTACGCAGGTGCAAAGGTCCCTTTAAGAGACAAGCTTTGCCCACTCCCACTCTCTCTTTCTGCCCTTTCTCTGAGGAAGCAGGTCACTGTATCTCTGTCTCTTTCTCTTCCTCTCTCTCCCCTTTCTTCCACAATACACACTTCCTTGCTATACAAGCTCTGTTTGTTGGTGTGTCTGTCCCTCGCCCGTCTTGGGCTCTCACTCGTCTCATGGCTCCTTGGCTCACCAAGGTCCACCGAGCATCATTTTGCAGCAGGGATGCTTTATTATGTGGGTTTTGGGAATGAACTAAGGTCTTCATGCTTGTTTAACAGTCTACTGGCATCACTCCAGATCCCAGTACTAAGGCTTTTTACCCTATGACCACTGCAGGGAATCAGGTGCCCAGGTAAGGAGGTCGGTGCTGTGTTGTCCCAACGCCTTGTGGAGGAGCACACAGTTGAGCTACCTGGGAAGGTTTGCGGAGACTGTGCGAGGCGGCAAGTGACAACCAAGGCACTCTGAAATGAGGGCATCTCTGAGCTTGAACCAGGGGACAATACATTGCATTAGGAGAGCTCCCTCATCATCGCCTCAGGGCTAGGGAGACAGCCCAGTTGCTTAAAGCTCTTACTGCATACATGAGGACCTGAGCTCAGATCCCCAGAACCCCCATAAAAGCCAGACACAGTTGTGAGTATCTATAACCCCAGTGTTCCTACAGGGAGATGAGACGTGGAGGCAGAGAATCTGTAGATGGTCACAGGCCTGCAAAAGATCCTGTCTGAAACCAAGATAGAAGGCAAGGACTGGCGTGGGGTGTACCTGCACTTACATATTCACATACATTCAGATGTCTGGACAGACAGACAGACAGACAGACAGGTAGACACACACACACAATTGTAAATTAACTCTATCCTAGTAGCCATTGTAAGGAAAATTTTTTTTCCTATGTAACAATAGGATGGAATCAATGACAAAATTTGAAAACAACCATCAGAGAACAGAAGTTGGGTGAACAGTCTGAATCCCACGATTAAGAACAATGATAAAGAAAATGGCATCAATTCAGCAAAGGCAGGAATTATACAAAAGAATGGATAGAGGAATTTGTTAAGTAAAAACATTAAATAAGATGTCAAGTACAATTACACCTGTCAAGATTCAGTATTAATCTAAGATAGATTCTCAACTAAAAATACTTCCAGGTGGAAATTTACAAGACACCGGAAACAACAACAAAGCCACAGTGGGGTTGTGGGTGATCAGCTAGAGAAGCCGCAGCAGGGACTAGTCACATAAAGCAAGGGTGATTCTGGCAACATATAACTCAGATTCCTAGGGCTGAAATACACCTTCCGACTATTTCTGGGCAGAGGCAGGAAGGCAGGCTGCAGCCCTGCTTGGAGCAATAGATACAGGAATCACAGAAGCCACCCAGAGACCCATTGCCATCACCTCCCCACCCCAGGACATTCCCGGGCAAGACTTAGAATGATTTGGAAAGAAATGTGAATCGTCCACTTGTGCACTGAAAGCAGTTTGCAGACACAGGCAGCAGAACGGTGGAGTTGCAAATTACAGTCTGAAGCTATCATGCATGCAGTAGCATATTTCACTCAGAAATAAAATGATGTCTGTAAAGATTTGAAAAATGATTTGATCCTGTTTGCGTTTTGTGGACAGGCTATGTAAAGTTTTTTTTTAAACCCATAGACCAGCCACAAAATTGAACATATGGAACACTGAGCACTCAGAAAAAACTCAACAATTTTCAAAACTCAGAACTCCTACAGACCATTTGATTTTTTGCCAAAGTTCAATACAATTAGAAATGATCTGAAGATAATGTACAAAAAACACACACCATCTAGTATTAAGAAAGATATAAAACTAAAATTACAAACCAAATATGGATTAGAGTGCACAAAAAAACATCTGGAGTCTAACAAAAATGGAAATGGAGAGGAGAAGCCAGAGTTTTAATTGCACTTACAAGAATATAATAAATACTGAAAATATGTTTATACCCAGCTGAATGAAATGAATAAAAAGTGTAAACAGTTTTAGCAGGAGAGATAAATTAAAGGACAGAAATTAATGTAGTGGAGCCAGATAAAATGTCTACTGTTAATTATTAAAAAATACAACTACAGATAACATTTAAAGAAGACCAATAAAATCAGTCAACTTGCATCTGATTATAATAAAAACAAGACTTTCTGAGTACAAACACATTCCCATATAAATAATGAGGTCCATGGCTGACCATGGACATGGAGGAGTCTCAAGCTTTGAAATATATAGACCTTTATACTAACTTGGAAACATTATGCAAGAGAAATAGTTTGTCAGGAATATGTAAAAACTAAAACTGAATTTGAAACAATTGAAAACCCATCTATGAAATTTTAAATGTCTACCCCTTAAATATCAATAGGGCTAGACAGTTTTGTAGGAGATTCAGAAATCAAATCTTCAATAAAAGACCAGCAGTGTATTCATGAAAAAAAGATCCAGAATATGAAGCATAGAGATTGCAGGATGGTCAGTTTACTCTGTGAGGTTGAGCAATTCTCTCCACGAGGACCTAAGATGAGAAGGCCACTTTGAAACGCAGAGGGGAAATTTCCTGTAACAGAGACAGGCAGGGTGCTAAATTGAGAGGCTGAGGCAAGGGAACCCCTGGGATTACAAACATGAAGTGAGACTGTTTGAAAAGACACAAACTTTCCAGTGATATTTTAGTAGACCCATCACAGTCTTACAAATGTAATATTCATTTCCAGGAAATAAGTAGGAGGGCTGTAACTGTGTGATAGTTGTGAGTCCCCAGCACAAAGTGAGGAGGTTTGAACACCCTCATTATGAGTAGGTAGTTCTGGAGGCTGGAGAGGTGGCTTTGTAGGGAAGACCCAAGCTGTGCTCCTAGCACCTAGGCTGAACAGCTCACAAACTGTCTGTAACCCCAGCTCCAGAGGATCCAATGCCCTCTGCTGGGCACTGGGGACACCTGCACACACACACACACACACACACACACACACACACGCACACACACACATTAACAACAACAAAAAAACAAAAAAAAAAACAAAAAAACACAACAACTATATCTTTCAAAAATTAATGGGTGGTCCTGTTTCAGGAATAATTACTAGATAATCTACTCTGCTGATCTTTGATGGGAAACAAATCACTTGACCACCTACATACACACACCACACAATGTTGGATTTCAGAGAAGGTTGCACTAAAAGCCAGGGCAATTATTCCAACGTGTTTATTCAGAGAATGGAGGCCCAGTGAACTTCTGTGTCCTTGCAAGAAGGCAGCCAGAGAGGTTTGTTAGGAGTATTTGCAAAAGAGGGAGTTGAGTTTGGAGTTTACTGGAGAACTTGAGGAACTTGGCTCAGGGCTGGGTGATTTTGTCAGAGTTTAGCAACATAACTGATCCTTGTTGAGTGTTTAGGCAATAATCTAAAGAACTTGGTCAATGGCCGGCAAAGGTCAAGGGCAGCCTGGGCTCACACTCACACGCAGCACACAGCTGGTCCATCAAGGCTCTCTGTATTCTCATCAAGTATGGTGAGTCTGCTGATTGTCTGAGAACCGGAGGGGAACCGGAAGCCCCGGCAAGTCACGTTAGTGGTACATCATCTTTATCGAGGGCAGAGGGATCAGGATTCCTCCTCTCCTCATAATCCTGGGTGTGGCAAAGGAGCAAAGCAAAGACTTAGAAGTGAATTGCTGTGTTGGGAAGAAATAGAGGCATCTGCATATGTATCTATACATTGAGAATATTCAAGAAAACATGCAAAAAATAATTTGATAGGTCAGCCAAATTTAAATACGGTATAAATGAAGTTCCTCCCTAAACATCAGCAGTTACCAAATTAGAAACTGAAAATTAAAAAAAAGGAAAATACAACATTCCTCTGTATTCAGCAAATCTAAGCACAAAATAATCGGACACAAACCTGAAAAATTACAAAGTTATAAAATATAAGCAAAATACATTAACAGAGATCTGGTAACTTTAATATTTAAAGGTATATATTTTTCCCATTATCTTTGGACCATCTCACCAAAATCTCTCAGACTTTTTAATTGAACATTCAGATAGAGACACAAATACATAATAAAACCCAAGAAAACATTGGGTTGTCATGGAAGACTGCCATAGAGCTGTGTGTCCTGGTGTGTGTCTTACCCGTGCAGGACTGAAGCCACTTTAGGAGGAGCAAGGCTCTATTCCGGCTTAGAGTTCAGGGGATCCAGTCAACCACAGCAGGGAAGACGTGGCTGCACCATCACGAGGCCAGCTAGTCACATTGCAAGACAGAGAGATAAGACAGGAGGGAGTCTGAAGGACTTTGGAGCCTGACTTAATGCTGGACTTCCTCCAGTCAGGCCCCACCCACTGAAGGCTCTCTCACCTTCTCAAGCAGCGCACCTGCTGGGAACCAAGAGTTCAAACACAAGCCCATGTGGACATTTCACAATTAAGCCACAAAAGTACCATTTTGATCAGAACTAATCGATGGCTTTGTGACTTGTGTAAGCCTCAATGGTCTGATTACCAGGATGGGAACGTAATTCCTAAAGTGGGATGAAGATTTTGAGGCAATCTGTGCCATTATCTTTGATCAAAATAGCATCTCAAGATTGTGGGAAATTCAGTGTTCTAGCGAGGAGTGTAGGAGCAATTCAGATTTAGAAAATTAAAGAAACCAAACTCTTGTATTCCAGAATGGGAAATTTCAAAGTATATAAATTAGAAGAAATTTAAGACAATATACACAAAATACTTGGAGGAGAACACATATAATTTAGACTTTAAAAAAGGAGACAGAATGTGACAAAGGGAAACAGTATTTTGATGAGATAACAAATGGTGAATCCTGGGAAACAAAATATAGTTAGAGTTTATTATGTATCATACACACAAAAATAAGAATCAGCAAAGAAAAGATGTTGTTGAAAAGAGAAATGAGAGAAAAGATGTTTATAAGAAATTCAGAGGTTAAGGATAGCATTAAAAAGGTGCTTAATATTTAGAGCAAGTGGATTTTAGCCATAATACTTTGTTTGGAGATTCAAAATTAAAATCATTAATCATCCCCTCCAGCTGCAAGAATGTAGGCAAACAGACCTTTCCACAGGCAGCACAGAAACCAGCAGCTGGGAGAAGCCCTCAGGGTATGAGCTACTGACCTACACAAAAACAGCAGGTGCTTTGATGAAGAAATTTTACTTCTGGATATTAGCTTCACAGTTAAAAACAAAACATCCACTTTGAAAATAGAGGTGGTGGCACATGCTTGTAACCTCAGAACTGAGGAGGCAGACACAGACATCTTTTGTGTGGTATGAAAGGAGGGAGAGAGAGAGAGAGTCTCACGGAGCCTTTGGCCATCATGTGGCCTAGAATGGCTGGTCAAAGAGCTGTGCTTATCTCTGAATTTTTGTGATGAGATTGCTAGGCCTGTTTTCGTGTTTGTTTGTTTTGTTTTCTGTCGCGTACACCCTCGTCCCGCAAGGATGACGCGACCACCGGAGCTCTTCTCACTGCAGTTTATTCCAGGACTTTATTCACTTTCTCACTTTTCCCCTCTCTCCTCTCTTTCCTCTCTCTCTCTCTCTCTCTCTCTCTCCCCTCTCTTTTTCCTCTCTCCTCTTCCTCTGTCTCTCCTCTCTCTCTTCCCCTCTCTCCTTCCTCTCTCCCGGGGCAAACCTCTCCCAGCCCTTAAGTAGGCATGGGCTGCCAATCCTGAACTGCCAGGTGGGCACTGCCCATAGGTTCAAGCATATGCAGGCAGCTGATAATCATTGAGTGATCATAGCATAGGTCAGGCCTTAGCCATAGGAGTTGATTATACATCTCCATCAGGTGTGACACCACGCAGCTCGCTACAGTTTTCTAAATGATGACCCTAGAAAATTGAACTCGGGTTCTGATACTTGTATTGCCTGACAAAATACAGTGCTTTGTCAACCAAGTTATCTTGCCAGCCCCCAAACCAATGTCCATTCCCGACAAGTTAACCAGTTTAGGATGCTCTGCTATAGCAGCACAAATGGACCACAAGTCCTGCACAGAAAATGACTCCCATGTCCCCTGTACCACAGGGCTTTCCCAGCCAGAACCACAAGACAGAGCTGATCGCTGGACTCCGCATCCAACCTCCTAGGTCTCTTCTGATCAATAGGCAGTCTAGACATGATGAAAGCAGACGTGAGGACAAACTCCTGTGTGGTTAGGACCTCCTTCCCTGCGGCTGTTGGGAAGGCCTCTGACACCTGGACCGGCGGTGTCCCCACAGTCTGCCAGGCCAGTCTAATCTAGTCAGAGCCATCCCAGGGCCCTTGTAACCCTCACCTGACCGCTTCTGACATTTGAGGGGAAAATTGCTGTCCGGAGGTTTCAGGAGCTGTAGGGAAACATTCATGGGAAGGAAAGAATGTCTTTCCTTTCGCCGTGCCTCTGTGGTTATTTTGCTATTGGGATTCACAGATAATATAATTCAAAGAATGTACTGTGTGTCTTGAGACTGTGATATCTTTATTTTCAAAAATAATATTTAATTCATTCTTTGAGAATTTTATTCAATGTATTTTAATTGTATTACATACCCCTGCCTCAACTTCTCCCAGATCTACCATCTCCACCCTCACCTCTCTATCCACGCAACCAAAGAAAACATTGAGTCTCTACCCCACATTCGATAAATCTAGTCTGTGCTGCTTTGGAGACTGGGGCCTTCCCTGGAGAGTGGCTCACCTACCAGGGGTCACATCATTGAAGAAAATTGACTAGTTTCTCTCTCCTAGCAGTTAACAAATGCCAATACCTGCTCAGCTACCCTTTTCTGTCCTGGGTTTTTTTTTTTAAAAGATTTATTTATTTATTATGTGTACAACATTCCTTTCATGTGTGCCCGCATGCCAGAAGGGGGCGCCAGGTCTCATTACAGATGGTTGTGAGCCGGGAATAGAACTCAGGACCTCTGGAAGAACAGTCAGTGCTCTTAACCTCTGAGCCATCTCTCCAGCCCCTCTGTCCTTGGATTTTGTCCGGCTTATGGTTGCCCAAATGTTGTGCATACTGACACAAACACTGAGTTCAGACTTGCAACTGTCCTGTTGTTTCTGGAAAACACTGTCTTCTTGAGGTCACCCCCACCTCTGGTTCTCTCTCTCTCTCTCTCTCTCTCTCTCTCTCTCTCTCTCTCTCTCTCACACACACACACACACACACACACACACACACGGACAAGCTCTCCATGTGATGAAGGAATCTTAATAGTGATAATGGGTTAAAGTGGGATCCTTCAACTCCCAGAGCAGCAGGAAAACCTTCCTGCCAAAATCAGAGAAAAGGCACACTGTTTTAGGAAACTGCTTTTGTGTGCATATGTGTGTGTGTGTGTGTATGTGTGTGTCATATGGGTCATGTGCCCATCTGTGCATTTGGATGGAGGCCAGAGGTTGATCTTGGGTGTATCTCTCAGGTACTGTTCACCTTATTTATTTATCTATCATTTATTTATTTAGAGACAGAGTCTCTCTTACTTCTGGGGCTTCCAGTTCAGCTAGCCATCCAGTGAATCCCAGAGGTCTACCTGGGTCCAGCCTCCCAGTGCCATGAATACAAACGCTCCCCACTCTGCTTTGTTCTGTTTAGTTTTAGTGTGTGTTCTGAGGATCAAACCCACATCCTCATGCTTCTTGTCTGGCAAGCACTTTGCTGATAGAACTATTTGCTAAGCTCAACTTTTAGGCATTTTGTTTCTTTTCCTTAGGTATTTTGTTTCTCTTCCTTCAGTCGTCTTTCTTAGAATGGCAACAAAGTGAAAAGAACAGCATCTTCCCCTGAGCCTTCTGCAAAGCTGATGACTGATTAGATATCAGTCATGGAGGGGTGGGAAAATTGCAAGTTCAGAGCTTAAGTAGCATTTATCTTGGGCTATCTTTAACCCCTTAGTAACCATTCCTCGTCCAAGTCTGTGTCTCGCCACGTCTCACGACTAACAGGTAAAATCCCTTGGGAATGCATTTCTGTAACAGAACATTAGCTTCCACCAACTAAAACACCACGGATGCTACTGGATTGAGCATGGAGCCTCGAGCTGAGATTTCCCCACTTTGCTGCCACCCGTCTACTTAATGTTTCTACCTATGTGTTTGAAATTTTGTTCTGTTACTAAAAACTTGATAAACTATTAACACATTGGGGCATGGAATCTGGGGTAAGCCAAATCTGTGTTTCTGGGCCACGGTCACTCATATTTGACTCCAGAAGAAAATATCTCCTATCCTTTTTGCAGTAAGAGTTCCCTCCCCCGCCCCCTGTATGTGTGTGTGCGCGCACATGTGTGTACGTGTGTGTACAATAATTTTGGAAAAGAAGCTGTGTCTGCACAGACTGATTGACAAGTAAGGAGTCCAGTACCATGGAGAGGTTGGAATGCTGTGTGTGTAGAAGTTAGTTACCTTATCTTGGGCTAGTTCTAGCCCTCCAGGACAGCCATTCCTTGTCCACCTCTGTATTAGAGCTAACATCTTGGGGCTAACAGATAGAAACCTTTTGGAACCTAGGAGCATAGCAGACAGCCAGCTTCCACCAACCCAGATCTCAGAATGTCATCACTGTCCAGGCATCTAGGGTCTATAGAAAAGCTTCCCCCATCTCACTGTACCTGCCTCCCCGATTACCCACCAGAGTATTTTAGAGCTGTTTGGATTAATTCATTAATTTAACTTATTTCTGTCTTGTAAAACTATAAAAACTTCATGAAACTGCTTTCATATTGGAATGTGGAATTGGGGATAACTTAAATCTGTGTTCCAGGGCTGTGGTCAGTCAAAAATGGCTCCGGAATAAACTATCTCTTTTTCCCTTTGAGATGAGAACTGCGGTTTTTCCATTGACATGTGTGTATGCATGTGCGTGTGCGTGCTTGTGTGTGTATGTGTGTGTTTAAGCTTGAGAACAATTTTATTAGCATTTAAAAGAGAAACCCCAGGGTGTCAAGCTGTAAGCCTGAGCAGCTGCCTGGAGGAGAAAGATGAAGAAGAAAGAGAAGACTGTGTTATTTCAGTTAGTCATGGAAGTCAACTGTGTGGTGGACAAGAGGCCACTGGGGAGCAGAGCTTTAGAGAAAGAACGAAAAAGCCCACAGAATCAGGGGAAGCATAAACTTGGGTCCCGGCCAGCAACCAAAAGAAAGAGACAGAAGCAAAGAAAAGGCAAATGCTGTGGCTTCACTCAGAAAGGCAGGCAGACGAAACAGAACCCCGTGGTGGCTCGGGACTACTGAAAGTTGTGTTGGACAACGACAGCGGGAAACCTGGACGCGATAAAACATGGAGACAATGCAGAGAAGGAAAGAAGCAGCCTTTGAAGCCCTCCCCGGGTGCTCGGCTTTCAGACAGCATCCTAGCCGGGGGTGCCTTTCCCTTAGACACAGAAACCAAGCCAGGGTACAAGCAGGGCGGAATAAAGAAGTTCCTTTCGCTGCCAGTGGGATTACTGGCACCCACTACTTTCAATAGCAAAGTATTTTATTAAATTGTATTTCAAGTTAAGAGAAGAAAATGAAGCGGTATTTAAAGGGAGCAGGGTGCTGAGCTTTAAATAAACGTTGCCTTGCCACAAAAAGATGCAATTCTGTGAACGAAGCCTGTGAGGTTGAGAAGGGGAACGTGAAAGACATTAGGGGCCTGGAGCCTTTCCGTTCCCAGCTCCACGGCTCAATTTCAGGAACTATTAAAGACACAGCGTTATTAAAGACAAGGTTCTAGTGTTGCCACTTACAGGTTCTCGGGATTTGGGGGGTGATATTTATAATGTTTCCTTCATCAAAGTGAATAGCCTTTGAATCCCATTTTGTAATCCCTATTCTCACTTTCATCCTTTCCCTCTATTTAAGTGGACTTAATATTTAGGAGTTGTCTCACGGTTCTGGATCTTTTGGCTGAATTTATTTTGCTTTATTCTCTTGTTTGATGTCTTTTTTTTTTTTAAATCACCAAGTGCCCTGCCCCCCAGAAAGCCCTTCTGGCTGTTCTTTCCATAAATTCCTGGCAACAACACTGTCGGCTGCCCCTGTAATTAGAGTGGACTCAAACTGGGTAAATGGCATTTTTTTTAGTTCACACTCCACCATCCTTCATGGGGTGGCCTTGAACTGTGTTCTTTAATGTGGTACAAAACACACATAATACAAACTTAAAATTTAAACATCTACCCCTTGTTTCACATGCTGTTCGGGCCTACCACTGTGTGTCAGTGGGAAGACATTTTCCCTTCTACAGTCTCTTATGGTTGTAGGTGTTCCATTGTCTGCGTGTCGGCACGTGGGCAAGTGTGTGCGAGTGCATATGTGAGGGGTAGTACACCCTTGTCATGGAATGCATGCATGCGGTGGTCAGGGGACCATCTCACAATCTCAGGTGGCAGCCTTTACTTTTCAGCTTGTTTGAACAGCTCTCCCTCCCTCCTTCCCTTTCTCTCTCTCTCTCTCTCTCTCTCTCTCTCTCTCTCTCTCTCTCTCTCTNTCTCTGCCCCGCCACCTTTCTGTCACTCCCCACTGCTCTCTCTAGGCTAACTGTCCCACAAGCTTCTGGAGACCATCCTGTGCCCCCCTCTCACTCACCATAGCAACACTGGGATGACAGGTCTGTGATGTGTACACAACTTATCTGGATTCTAGGGATTCAAACTCAGGTCTCACACTTGCATGGCAAGTGTTTTCCAACTCTCCTGATCCCCAGTCATTAAAGGTTTTTGTTTGCTTTTGCTTCTGTTTATTGAGACAGGGTTTCTCTGTGGCTTTGGAACCTGTCTTGGAACTCACTCTGTAGACCAGGCTGGCCTCTAACTCACAGAGATCCACTTATCTTACTCCCAAGGGCTGGGATTAAAGGCGTGTGCCACCACCACCCGACTATTGTAGGCTTTTAAAAAAATGTGTATTATTCCTGGATGTCAGTTTGGCTGGCTATGACGTTCCTGGGTACCATTTTATTGTTATCAAACTTTCTCAGTGCCATTGTATCCCAGCATTGGATGTGATTGCAGGCATCTGAGGCTAGGTATGATTCATGCTGGTCATGCCTCTCTCCCTTGCTTCCTACACCATAATACACAATGTCCGTATTAGTCAGGGTTCTCTGCAGTAACAGAACATGCAGAGTGAATCTCTCTGCATATAGAAAGGGAATTTATTAGACTGATTTTCAGGCTATGGTCTGGCTAATCCAATAATGACGGCCTGTGAGCAGAAGTTTCAAGAATCCAGTAGTTCTTCACTCCACAGGGCCGCATCAGCTGGTCTTCGATAGACACCAGAATCCCAAAGAAGCGGGCTCCACTGCCAGTGGAGGAACGGGTGTGCTGTGCTAGCAAGGTGAGGGCAAGCAGTGAGTCAGCAAAGCTTCCTTCTTCTCAGTCCTTTATATAGGTTGACAGCAGAAGGTTAGAGGTGGGTCTTCCCACCTCAACAGATCTGGATGAGAAGGAGAGCTTCTCACTTTGACTTATTTAATTAAGCAAAAATGTCTCACAGGTGTGCCCAGCTATTTGGGGGTTTTGGTTAATTCCAGATATAGTCAAACTGACAACCAAAATAGCCATCACAATGTCCTTATTATTTTTTATTGTTGTTGTCAATCTCTTTTACTCTTAATGTAGAAGAAGGGGTTTTTCTATGACATTTCTTGCATATGAATCCTTGTGTTTGGATCATATTCATGTTCCCGTTCCTCTCTCAGTAAAGACCTCCTAGAGCCTTCAACCCTACTGACTATCCCTCATAGGACCAGAAGGTACTCTGCATGTTACCAAGAGAAAGGTCAGCATCAACCCAGCTAGGCACCCTGAGACCTTCAATGGTGGCCTGTCTGCATAGTCCCCTGGTGCGACAGTGTTACAGAAGCTGTGGGAGTAGCCCACCAGCATCTGATTGGATCAGAGGTCCACTCTGTGAGACGGAACCCATGCCTGACACTGCTAAGGTAGCCCAAAGCATGAGACTGGATAGGCCATGGGTCTAGGGGAAAACCAGATGCTATGTTCTGTTCAAGGGACATCAATGACTCCCAATGGCATTCTGCTCTATCCATAGATCAGTGTCTTGCTCAGCCATCATCGGAGAAGCTTCTTCTTGCTGTAGGTCAGAACTGACACAGAGACCCACAACTGGACAATGAGCAGAGAGTGCGAGACTTTGGAGTACCCAGTCCTAAATAGGATGTCTTCATGATCCCCCTTCCTTCAGGGCTCAGAGAGCTATGTGATAAAGGGGGTGGCAGAAAAAGTGTTAGAGCAGGAAGTAGTGAATGATTCCACAGAAACAGTCTTCCAGACTCAACACAACTAACACACAAACAAACTTACAGAAACTGTGGTAGCACACACAAGGCCTACACAGGTTCAAGGCACTGGGCTCCTAGGTCTGAGATGAGTGGACCACGCCTATACTGTTTATCTATGTTTACGTCTCCTCCATTTTAGCCTGAACTTCCTGTTAGGACTAAAGATGGGTTTTGGTGGTTGTGGGGGAGACCACTGGCCTTCTTTGTTCCACTTCCTAATGTGGTCACTGAGAAGAAACCTTCTATTGCTTTTCACTCTTAACTATGCCTTTAAGTGGACTAGTCAGGATGGTTGGCCAAACCTGGCTAGTAGGGGGGCTGTCAGGACCCAGGCTCTGACCCTAACTGTGCTAACATCTAGGTCAGAGATGCTACCCATTACCCTTCACTGCCTTAACTGAGGCGTCTCCACCTGAACTGTCTGGTGTATTGGCATGGCGCCTGCCATCCCTACAGCCTCCCGCGGTCTCACTTGGGGCTACACCAGCTTTACTTCAGTAACTCTCCTTCTCACAAAGAATCCACAGCAGCTCAGTCTTAAACAATAGGGTCCTTCTCAACAGGACACCGAGTCACAAGCTCAGAGCCAAGGAGCGTGCCAGCAAAAGGACCCACTCTTCATGCCTTTCACCACAACCTCGGGCTGGATGCAGGACACAGACCTGCTGGCCTGTCCCACAGGTAGGACGCACGCTGGTCTCCTTTAGTCTTGTCGATGGGGCTTCTGCTCCCCTCCCCCTCCAGGGAGCTGCACAGCTGCAGCCAGAGCTGTCTGCTTCTTTTCAGGGCACAGCCCTTCTGTACGTCAGCTCATTTCGTCTGTCCTGTCAACCCCCTGCAGGGTTTCATATGCTCCTCCACCCTTTCCCTCTCTGCAACCGGCTCGTCTTTGTTATCCCGACTCCTCTCATTCACTCCCCTACGTGGAGGCAGCCTCTGATCTATTATTTTACCCCCAAGTCTCCACAATGGCCTTTTTAATCCCTACTGCTTATTAACTTAGCCAAGCCATATCGCAATGGCAACGGCTCTGGGTAGAATTTTCCAGAGGGACGGAGCGCCTTTTAGATCCGTTTCAATTTGGATTCTTTCATTCATGAACATTTCCTTCAATTTTATCTCTAAATATATTCCTTCCTTCTTTGTGGGATTTCCATTCAAGGACACCAGTTGATGGTATCGTGACTTTCCCATGCCTCCCTTGTCTATTCCTGGCCTGCCTGTCTCTGTGTCTTTGTTCCTGATGTTACTATGATTTGACTTGTGTAGTTCACTGCATCGCTTTGGTGCCTCTGGTTATTTTTGTTTGGTTGGTTGTTTTTTGGTTGCTCTTTGTTTTGTGGTTTTTCTTTGCTTGTTTTTATTCTCTTTTTAACTAATTCCCTCATCCTTCATCTCAGGACTCACATTTAACAGGTTTTCTCTGCTATAAAGGGCTCACATGAAACCCGCCTTCCATCATGTTGTCGTTGTGGTTTCTCTTGGCCTGATTTCTCCCGATGGAGGTTTGTCTAGCTACTGGTGCCTTTCTATCTGTTCCATGAGCAGTAACACCCTAGGGCAAGTTTTCTTCCACACTCTTTCAGACTTTTCTGATACTAATTATCTTCCTCCCAATTACCAGCCAGGACAGCATGCTGACCTTTGAATGACCTTCACTGAGAGTGAACCTGCATTTCTCCCGCCTCTGAGAGCCTCAGGAAGGCCAGGTGAATTCTAATTGGTTTTATTAATAAAACCTTGGGGCCAGATATGGGACAAATGCTGCAAGATCAGAGAGAGAAAGAAGTTAGCCACAGCCAACGCTTACCTTGCTAACTCCTCAGTTGAAAAATGGCTGAGCACCTGTCTTCTCCTGCCTTATTATATTCCTCTCTCCACCCAACCACGTCCCTTCCTGCCTGTCCAGACCTCCAGACCTCTATGGTTAACTAGTGGCTACCTCTGCCCTCTGATCTCCAGGCAAGCTTTATTTGTTAGAGCACAAACAAATATCACCACAGTGAGCTTCCTTCTTCTCTCTATTGGTTACTGGTCTCATAGCTGCAGCAAGGAATCTGACCAAATCAAGCTAGAGAACAGAGGGTTTATGTTTGCTCACCGTGGGAGGCTCAGTCCTGGTGCAAGTCACTGCAGCAGGACTGGAGCGCCCGCTCTACCGCAGTGCCGAGTTTCGAGCAAGGAGCTGAGGATTTAGAGAAACACCACACAGCTGGTGCTAAGAGAATGCCATTTATTGAAGGGCGAACATGGTCTGTATATACAGGGGCTTGCAGCACTGTGGGAAAACCTAGGGTTGGGAAGTTCCTGTTATTGAAGGGCCGAATCAGCAAACAACTAAGTGGAACAAGGAGCTTGCCCCTAGGCCAGGAGGTGCAAGGTGTACTTGCTAGCCAAGGTCAGCAGGGAATAAACAGACATGGGGGTGGGGTCGGGGCAACACAGGACCTTTACACAAATAGTCACAGTGCACCCTTGTCAGGAAGAAGGAGTGCAGTGAGGGCTGGTGCTGAGCTTGCTCCTCCCCTTACGAAATTTGGGACCCCAGCCCCTGCGTTGATGGCACTCAGACTTAGGATGCATTTTCCCACCTCAGTTAACCTAATCTAGAAACTCCTTGCAGATATATACCCGGGGTTTGTGTCCTAGGTGATATTAGATCCTCGTCAAGTTGACAGTCAGTATAAGCCACCGCATCCTGTCTAGATTGAGCTTTAGTTTTTAACGTGTGGTAACTCTATTCTGCTAGCACAAAATTTGGGAACGTCGGAAGAATGCTTAAGAGAAATGTTCCCTTATCTCCTCTCTGTTCAAGGTCGACTCGACAGGGGACTGAAGTGCTTTCTAAGTGTGAATACCCTGATCTTTCATTTTGAGTCCCTTTGTGCACGCATGCGCACAAAAGAGATGAACCCTGAGTATCGTTCCTCCACGACTCTGCTATAATTTTCAAAAAGCAGTGTGTGAGAGAGAAAGAAACCATGTGACAGAGTTCACAAGAGGGGTTTTTATTAAGGAAAGGGAACATAGAAGGAAGGCGAGGGGGAAGACAGGCCTCTGGGGACAGGAGCAGCAGGAGAGGAGAGAGGCAGAGGTGGGGGAGACAGAGAGACAGGCAGGGAAGCAGAGAGAAAGAGAGAGAGAAAGGAACAGGGAGAGACAGAGAGAGAGGAATTGGGCAGGGCCCTTTTTTAAAGGGAACATAGTGAATGTGCACAGGAGGTGCTCTTAGTGGCTACAGCTGAGGACTTAGCCTGTCAAAACCCCAAGGGCCGGCCAGTACAGGTGCCTGAATGCTAACACTCTCCATCTTAGTTCTTTGAGACCATCTCTCGCTGACTTGGAACTTCCCAAGGAGGCTAGGCTGGCTGGCCAGCAAGCCTCAGGCAGCCATCCGTCTCCGCCTCCTCAGCTCTGGAGCTATAATCTTGAGCTACCACACTGGTCTTCTTCTCTTTTATTTTTTAACCTAGATTCTAGGAATCAAGCTCAGATTCTCATGCGTGTTCAGCAAATGCCCTACCACCTGAGCTACCACACCAGAGCCATTTGTTGCTCCTTTTTAAAACTATGGAGTAATGTGCCCTGGGCCCAGGGCCCTGTTGAAGGCAATTGATGAAGACTGTGTTAGCTCTCTTCCGCAGATGTCAGTTATGTCTTCTGTTAGAGTACTCCAAGGCCTTGCCTCAGCTTCTCCACACCCTAGCCAATCCTATTTTAAGTGGGAACCCACAACCAATAACCTTGGGCCACACTTGCTGTGTGCACCCTTTCAGGACTGCAAACCCCTCCTTTGGCATAGCCACTGGCACCATAGTACTGCGTGGATGAGAAACATGCGTTTCCTTTTTTTCTTACACGACCAGAGACATAGCGTCTTTATTGTGCAGTGAATGTCACAGTTCGGGGACTGGGGCGTAGCTTAGTTGGTGAAGTGCTTGCTTTGCACACACACCAGGATCCGAGTTTCATTCCTAGAATCACCACAAACATGCTGAACCTGGTGTTACACAGTTGAACTACCAATGCTAGGGAGGTGGAGACAGGCGGATCCATGGGAGTCATTGCCTGGCAGCCCAGACTGCTCCGGAAGTCCTAAGCAATAGCGAGAGACTGTTTAACTTGAAAACATGGTAGATGACGTATGAGCAATACCTAGGGAACACTGCAGGTCCGTGGTGGCCTGTGCTGATTCACTATGGGCTCCCCCATGGATGCTATGGAGATAGTCCTTTGGGGGAAAGAAACAGCTGGAGGGAAGGGCTGCACACAGGAAGTATATGGAGAATGCCATTCCATTCTTTCACTTATTAAAAATCTCTCTCTCTCTCTCTCTGCTTGTGTGAGGGGTATACACATACACGTGTGTGTTTGGGGTGTGAATGTGGACAATACAGAGGAGAATATTAGTGTCCTGCTCTCCACTTTATTCCCTTGAGGCAGAGTCTCTCACTGAAACTGGAACTGGGCTTCCACTTACATGCCCACATCATCTTCCTCTCTGCTTTCACAGCATTGGGATTAGAGGCACACCCAAGATCATGCCTGGCTTTTTACATGGGTGCTCAGGATTCAGATCCTGTTCCTCAAGTATTTGCAGCAATGCGTCTGATCTCCTGAACCATATCTCCAACCCTGGGTTTCATTCTCTGACAAGTGAACCAGAAGTTCAGAGAGGACTATGGACAGCTGAGAGATATATACATTGGCAATATAAACGTTTTAGAAAGCAGATGGCTGGATGTACCTGAGACCTTAAGATGTGGCAGGTGGAACATTCATAATTCAAAACACACAAATTTCAGAACCTCCCAAGTCTAAAACTTTTTGAAGGCTGGCACAATACTGCCAGTAGAAAAATGCTGCGCCGTGAAATTGTTTCATGAACCAAATTATTAGAAGATGAAAATATCACATTAGAATATTAAATGTTAATATAAGGTATAGATATCAAGTATTAATCTAACATTCAAAATACTCAATATTAAAATCACGAGATACACGCTGTGTGTATAAAGAATATGGGAAACACATAAATCTTACATTTACCCAGGTCTCATCACTGAGAGAATATTTGGGAATCACAAGAAGTTCAAAATCAGAAACTCCTCTGTTCTTTCAAGTGTTTCAGATAAAGGACCTGCACTGAGTGAGCTTCTCCACACGCATGGTGGTTTAAAGTTTAGATGAACAGAGGACAAAGTATGAAGAGCATCTGTCTCAAGGTGCTTATCATGCACGGGAATGAACAAAGTAGGCGAGCTGATAGGTAAGCGGCCAAGGAAGTCTGGGCATACCTACCAGCGCTCTACTTCACAATGCATCAGTGCGCATGCTCAGACCCCGCCTCGGTTACTTTCTTGTTGCTTTATTAAGATACGTGGACAAAAGCAACTTAAGGAGGAGGTTTTATGCCAGAGAATTATAGTCCATCAGGGCTGGGAAGGCATGGCAACAGGCAGGGAAGGGGTGGTGGCAGGAGCAGGAGGCTGGTGGGTCCCACTGTACCCCCACTCAGGAAGTAGAGAAAGAAAAGCAAGCTTCTCACCTGGGAGTCCGGGCATCTGTAACTTATCAAAGAATAGAGCGCTGTTCTACCTTCCCTGGACCTGGGTTTTCACCAGGGTGTGAAACACAAGCAAGGTGTTGCTGTTCCCCCAGGCTTTGGCGTCATCATTGGGACCCCTGCTCTCTCCACAGTCAGCGCACCCTGCTTGGCTAGCCCCGTAGCTTCTTCCAGGTATAACACAGGTTCAATCCCTGCCAGCAGGAGCTACTGGGAGCACCCATCCAGCATTACTAGCTCCTGCTCCAAATCCACTCTAAGTGTAGCTTCAGAAAGACCTTTGTAAAATGTCATCTGTCCTGGTTGATGTGCATTGAACACTTATAAGCAGGATGCCTAGTTTCTTGACATCTGTTGGGCGGTCCACCTAGTGAGGGCCCAGAAATCGTTTGCTGGAGGAGTTGGTTGGCTCCCCTTAGTGTCTGCAGGCACTGGTACCAGCACGTGCATTCTTGTGACCATCCCTTGCCCCCTCACGGCCCCAGTGTCCAGCATTTCACTTCAAATCGGCTAATTAAGATCACACCTCTAGAGCAGCTGATGACCTTGTCTTAGAGAACTGGCCCTTTGAGGCCACAAGGACACACATCTTCACAGAGGAGAAGGATACTCCACTAACAGGCTCTGAAAAAAGCACAGCTAGGTCTCAGGGCACAAGATGGATGAGGCTTGCTTGTCAAAAGTGGCCTGGGGACAGCCTGTCTTCTTGTAGCGTTAGCATCTGGTGTAGGGAGTGTTCTCAGGAGCAGCTTCTCCAGATGAATCCTGCCTCACGCTGTGAGAACACATCTTCCCTCTCCACCCTGAAAACCTGTCCTTTCCCTAGGTCCATCTCAGACTGCAGCTGCTCTGGGAGCGCCCTACCGCCTCACAATGGGGACTTCTCATTTTTCTTAGCTTCCTTGGCTGCACTCAGTACTTTGTTCAGCTCTGATCACTTGTTTTTTTTTCCAATTGGGAAAAAATATATATATATATAATAAAATTTTATATATCTATATAAAGTCTAGGAATCACAAATGAGAATAAATATGTAATATTTGTTTTTCTAAGGCTGGATTTAATTACTTAATTCAATATCTCCAATTATACCTATTTTTCAACAAATGACATAGCTATCTTCTTAGCTGAAAAAAATCATACATATGTATGTGGATTTGTATTTTTTTCCTCTATTCCCTTATTATCAGACATCCAAGTTGCTCTTATAGCTTAGTACTTGTGAACAATGGTGCAATAAACCTTGATGTGCAGTTGTCTCTTGCTGTGGAATAATGTTCTTGTACA